GAATGCTAGTGCGCTAGGACGCGTGATTCATCGGAACCTGCATTTCGCTTCGTTCGTATGGCATGAAATGCGAAAAGGCGACTATAACTGAATCAATCATTCATTATTAATATTGAAATGAAAAATCTCGTATGTAGAGGAGAGAATCTGTTATGATATAGTTCAAGAAAGAGTTGTCTCATTTCCTTACTTTGTATGCAGTTCTTTCTAATTCATTCACTTCAAGACTGGTTCTGAATGCCGCGTATCATCATCTTCAACCAACCTCCACCTACAAACGAAGCGAAGTCAAAGACCAAACAAACGAAGCGAATCGCAGTGAAGTCAGAAGTATTGGCAAAGTGAAGTAAAAAATGGAGAGGATCGATGTAATTGACCTTACACTTAATTGCTTTCTATACCATATGTATAGTACCTCGGAGAGGAATAGGCCAGCTTACCATGCGCCAACCGCTTCATTAGTTCACAACATTAGTCCATTTTCCCACTCTATACGTTCTAAGGTCAAAGACCAAACAAACGAAGGGAAGCGCAGTGAAGTTAGAAGTATTGGCGAAGTGAAGTCATAAAGAAAGTCTCAGACACATAAAGGAAAAACTTTCGCGTCTTTTTCTTCACTTCGCTTCGTCAATTACATCTTCCCTCTCTTTTCCTTCACTTCACTTCGCTCCGTTCTGTTAGTCTCACGAAAACTCCTTCCCTCTCTCATCTCTCTGAACCAGAGTGGTTTCATCAAGAATCGAGTCATTAGTGATAACATTCTTTTGGCCCAGGAGATGATCCACGACATCTCTCATCACGCATTCCATGAATTAGATAAAATGACTAAAAAAAATCTTTCTTTTTTTTTTTTTAAATTGCATTGAATTTTTTTTTGGGTCCGAACACGAGGTAAAATATCAAGTATGAATCATAGTTCAAACATTTCTTAATCTAGTGACTACGATTTTGGCTTTTTTTTAGCCATTAGATCATCCGATCTAATGACTATGATTCATTCTTATTTCTTTCACTGAAAACCTTTCTCACTGGAGCGTGACCCTATATATATGTTTGTATTTGCCTGAAATAGAAACTAAAATGTCGCCTAAAAATTTTAAGTTACTAAAATTGGTAATCTTCTTTTAAATTTTTTTAAAAAATCCCGCCAATAGAGCTTTAATGTTGAATTTCAAAAATATTTTGATTTTATTTTAGGGTAATTTTTTGTGTATTATGGAAAAAAATTTATCTATTAATTTCAATATAAATAAAGATCCTCCCCTGATATACATTCTATATCCATTGCAATTAAAATCGTTTAGTCGCAACGTTACATATATGAAAAAGAAAGTGGCACTTATTTTGATGCTTAAAAATAAGGGTGGCATCGGTACGGTAACCGAACCGATAAGCATATACCGATAACGATCCGGTAATGTCGGTAACCTAGAAATGCAAAATCGATACCGAACCAATTAAAGTCGGTTACTGAATTATCGGTAACCGAAAACTCACTTCGGTATTGGTTTTATACCCAAAAAACCGAACTGGTTAAAAAAAAAAAAAGAAAAACAACTAATGTTTAATTTTTTCATCATTTTGGATATACTTTTCGCACTTTTTACCAATTAAATACACACAAAAGACTCACAGATTCATTGGAGGATTAAAGAGCTTAAATTTACTATATAGAAGTTAGTTTAAATTATAATTAGATTCTAATTTTTGTATTAAACACAACTAATCCCTCCCTATATATTAATTCAAAATGTGTTGAGCCTACGTGGCAGGGTCACACGCTTCGGATGCTGACATGGCAAAAATTTATGCTTCGGAATATTGTTTGTATATTAATTTTTTTGCTTTGGAATTAGGCTTGGTATAGACATAAATAACTTTTTTCAAACTTGGTAAGTGTACATCTAATTTTGTTAATTGTTTTCTCTTAGTACAAATTCCTTCTTAATTTGGACAAATAACAATCTTACCATCTTATAATTTTCTCCCATATTTTCTCCTAAATTACGATTTATAAATCACTTTCTGCACTGTCTATTTCTCTTTTTTTTTTTTCATTAATTAGTCCATCAAAATTTCTAAATAAAATTTTTATTTTAGCAATAACTTTAATAATATTTTTTTTAACTCAACACCCGTGTAGTACACGACTATTGTACTAGTAAAAAAATCTATTGTTGAACATAAGAAATAAAATTTGTGATACAATTTTAACTAATTTATCTAGTAACGGTAGTATGAGAATAAACTACTGTAACGATACCACTTTCCTTCAGAAGGAGTGAGACTGGTAAACCAATAATGTTCCGGTGAGAATATGAATGAGCCGATGGGTAGTAGTATTTTTCTCGTCGGTTTGGGGTTTAGGTGAAGTTGAGCCCTTATTTCAAATTTTAAACACTAAATACTAAACAACTAATCCTTGTTTTAATTTTTTTTTTTTTACCCTTATCGGTTCAGTTCGGTTTTACCGAACCCTTATTGGTTCAAAACCGATAGTGAATCGGTAACTGTTAATCGGTTACTGTTACAAGCGATTCGGTACGATTCAGATTCTTTTCTCGTCGGTTCCGTTCGATTTTCGGATTTCGGTAAAAATATGTCAGCCTTACTTAAAAGGGACGAAAAGAAAAAAACAAAAAGAAAATAAAGAATTCATAATATCATTATCTCTATGACAAAAATTCTCCGTACCAACACAATGAAATTTGCACTACAAAGTTTGCTTTTTTCTGAAGATGCATCTCCAAAGTTTGCACTACTTGATACGTATAATGAAATTTCTAACAGAATGAATGTTGTGAGCTATGAATTTACTTTATTTGATATTTAATACTTAGTATTAATTACTATACTATAATAATGTTGTTCTTGAAAAAGAATTTTTGAACTTTTATACAATTTAGATATAATTGTTTGTTATTTATTTATTTTTTTTTTGCATAAATGGATCTGGTAGAAATAATTTGCACAAGGAAATAGTTGTTGGATTGAAACAAATGTTACACCAACACAATGAACTGGTAAAATCATTTTGTATGGGCAGAGATAGAATGCAAGAGATTGGCCAATCAAATTCGAGTGCGTTTGATTGAAAACGAGTGTTCTCTCGAAACCATATTCGAGGAATGAATCCTATCTTGGCTCAACTACCAATTCCATGTATATCGTGACCAACCCAACACAAGCCCATATCTACTCATAAGGGCGTAAGCGTTGGACTAGGACTATTACACCATTCCACACACCAATATTCTCATATACACATAAACAAATGGTTTATCGGTAGGGTATATCAATATTCTCCAAAGTATCCATGTGTCCATCACGAATAACAATTATTCATAGCTGTGAGACATACTATATTCTCCAAGAATATGGTACAGATCACATGTCAATCCATCGCATATCATTAATATCCCTTTCTTAATGATCATCGATTGAGGCGATTTGAGAGTTATACTTTATCAATCAACATCTCACTCTGCCAATGACAGTATTAACTCAAGGGAGCAATTAATTACTAAATTGCAAACAATCAAACAATTATTTAATTGATTGCAATACCATAATTATAATCCAATATAATTATTAATGTGATCATGTATATATGTCCTCAAAAGATTGTCTTTAAGAAACATATATCAACAATTTTGGCATATGAAATGTCCAAACTTAAATGACATGAATTTTGTTTAGTATGGATAAATGTGTATTTGGATTGAAGAGAAAAAAAAAATATATTTGATGAGGTGTAATAATCCAAAAAGAAAAAAATTAGATGTCCATCAATAACTCAATCCATTTCGTCAAAAATATTGTTTACGTGAAAAATTCACAATACATAATAGGAACAATAATTTCTAATGGCATTCAGGAGTTTTTGTTTTTTTATTTTTTATTTTGAAAAAAAAAAACACTAATTACCAACTTGACCCATGCTTGAGTTCATGTAATATGAATCATTCTCATTGAAATTTTCAGACATGCTGCCATTAACATCTGATGACTAATTTTAGGTTGAGTTGTTTGGTATGGGTATGATTTTTATTTGGTATGAGTATGGAAGTTTAATTTTGATTTGTTATAAAATTAAGGTAATATGATTCTCAAATTTTAGCATATCTCAATAATAACTTTCATAAGATATATGATTTTTTGGTGATTCCTCTTGAAAATCAGAAAGATCTTTGAACAAATATTAATTAACATAATGTAAAATATATAATTTAATTCTAGAGAATTAGTTAATAAACTTGAACGATAATGTAACCAACAACAAATCTAGAATATTAAGAGTTAATATATATATATATATATGTATATATATATATATGTATATATATATATATAAGAGATTTAATCAAATTTGAGTTTCAAATTTAAAAGTCAAATAAGTATTTATTCATAACTTATAGGTAAATATTAACTTGGATGTGAATTGAGTAGTCAATTATTTATAATTTAAAAATTAGTCAACTACTTAAATTTTTTTATAGTTATAGAAAAATAAATTTTAATTAATGGAACAATATAAGTTTTATAACTATACTTATTATTCACATAAATTTTTAAATTTATGATAAATTTATCAAAATAATTATTTTATGAAATTACATTGTAGTCCAATCGAATTTTTTAATAAAAGTTTTAAAATGACACTTATTTTGAAATGGATATAGTGCAATATATTATCAGTTACGTACACTGTATGAGTTGTGTACTAATTTTAAATAGATACGTTTTATGTAATTTTGCACAATTTAAATTTTTGTACTTATATCTTGATTCCATATTTTTAATTTAAAAAATATTATTTAAATGAGCATTTTTAATATATAAATATTAATAAATATCTATTGTCGGTGGAGATTCGAACTAGTTCAACAATAAAAAGAAATGAAGATCTCGTCCATATAACAAAAGAGAAGGACGAATCGTACATATGAAAGAAAGAAAAAAAAAATAAAAAAATGTCGGCGTTGTTACATTTATTGTAAATGTGCAATTGGAAAGTAGAAAGAAGAGCATCCTCCCTTGAACAGGTTCAATTTTATACTTAATAACTTTTTCTCTAAGTTGGAGGGCTTGAAATCAATGTTTCCTGCAGGCCTTGCTCTCCACATCAGACACAATCGTGTAGTTCCGACTGCTCACATTTCTGGCATAACACGAATCTCGACTCATATATGCATACTCTTGCTTGGTGCTCGCCAGTCCGCTGACCAACGTGCTGCCATTATAAATCATATACCCATCCGCGCTTTGGAAATTCGTTAGATTGCTTTCCTTTCCCTTCTCCTCAATGCCTAAAGTCACGTTATCAATCTCCTTACCAACCCCTTTGCCTTGGTCAATGGACTCCTCGTAAAGATAGAGAGTGAACTTTCTGTGCGAGTCGATTGAGGGCACATTTCCTTTCTTAACACTCGTCTTCACAATTATTGTTTGATTCACGGTTTGCGAACCCCCGTCATCTCCTATCACCATCGCGTTACTGTACTCGAATTCTTGTGCCGATTTGGTCGTCATATTTCCAAGAGACGAGTTAACCCATCCCCTAGACACAATCCCTCGAGTCGCACGGGTCGTAAACGATCCATTGAGTCCGCTCGTAATATTTGGGCAAGTACGCAGAGAAAGGGGCGACACTCGGTACTCGAGCATGCCCCCGCTCGTCTGGTGACTCCCTTCATCCAGCCAAAGGTGCAAATTGGCACCTATATACCAAACATTCAAAGCGTTTGTCACACTGAAGCCTAATTTATGAGTTTTTCTCCCGCCGTCCAACATCCAGCCCAGGAAAGGGGTGAGCTCGATGTCGTAAGACGGGAGGTCCAATGAGCCGATCCCGGTTATCGGCCTCCACATCAAGGGGTTTATGCCCCCAGTGTATATCACCGTGAACGGCCAAACCGCGCCTAACGTTTTCCCGTCGAGTGAGACGCTCACCTCGCGGAACGGGCCGTTCCCGGCCTCCTCATCTGTTAGATTGTTCTCGGAGATGTAGCTATTCGGGGGGTTACTGTACCAAAACTCGTCGTTCTCGTGGTACGAGAGGCACACTTCCAGCACGGCACGGAACGAGTTTTGGGGAATCTTGAACTGCTTCGACTCGACTTGCGTGGAGTTGTAGATCTCGAACCACGGCCCGTCGTCACCGTTCTTAGGCGTGTATTTAGAAATGGGAAGGATGAAGTCGGCGGGCGCGGCCGCGTGATCTTTCGGCTGGAGGCCGGATTCGGAAGGGTAAAAATGGAAAGTAATCGCGGCATTGTACATGCCCGTGTAATTCGCGTCGACTACATTACGCAGATCGACTACGAGCCTGTTGTTGGTCGTTAATAGAGAACCGTACCTGGTGATGTCTTTGTTAACGGTCCAAACAATGCTGGTGGCTCGTGGCTCGGCCGTGCAGCTACGGAAGATCTCGACACCGCCAAGCCACACGCCGAAGATTCGGTCGAATTGTCGGCCCTTGCAAGTCGCGGTCCACTCGAGCACGACTTGGGCGTAATTTTGGGGTGGACAATGGGAGGCGGGTGTATAGGGCACGTTGACCAAGGGTTTGCCGTAGGTAAAGGCAAACTGGTGTTGTAGGACTAAATAGGAGCATGGTTTGGTTTTTGGGTGGGGGATGGGCCTGGTGACTTCAAAGTACCTGGTCGGAGTAGTAGTTTTGGGAGCGGGTGGTGGGGTGGGCCCGGAAATGGATTGTGATCTGAAGAAAGCGGCTGTTTTGTGCAGGTTTGCAGTAGAGAGCAGTGGGTGCAAGAGGAGGAAGAAGAGGAGAGGAAATTTGGCAAGCCCCATTTATTTGGTTAATAATAATAATTGTATAGACTCAATATCATCATCACCGTGGTGCTGTATTTATTCTAACGACTGAGGAGCGCGTGCTCTTGTTCTCGGACGCCTAGCTAGCTAGGCTAGCAATTCATTATGGTCATGATGTACCCTTCACGTTAAGGTTTTCCAAAGTCTACGTATGAAATATTCAGTCTTGATACTCCCTTTGAACCTAATCATAGTTATGTGACTATGATCAAAACTGGAAGCTTTAAATCCGAAAGCACAGTGGAAAAGCAAGTCAAAAAGAGCACATATGACTAAACCAACTGTCAAAAAGCAATTTATAGTGTTTTTTTTTATAACTTTACTTTATAGTATTTTAATACAACCAAAATTTTGTAAAAATTAACTCATTTACTATTCACTGTACCCCTATTACTACTTACCGTCCCTCTTGGACAATTTTGCCCCTGACATTTTTTTTTTCAAAAAGTAAAAAAAAAAAAAAAAAACTGTCCGACCGGCGAAACCGGACGACTTTTAGCCCGTCCGACCGCCGAAACCGGACGGTTCAAAAGGCGTCCAGCCGGCCGGTTATGCCGTCCGGAGAGTTCGTCCGGTTGGACGGGCTATGTCCGAACCGGCCGGCCGGACGCCTTAAAAGCCGTCGGGCGGCGACGGCCGGTCGAAACCGGTCCGTTCGGTTCGGCCGGCCGCACGATTTTTTTTTTTTAATTAACTTATTATATTATATATTCGCAATAATTATGTTATAAATTGGACGTTAGATATTATCGTGTTAGGAGTTAGAAATGATTATGTTACATGTTAGACTTCATTATGATATTATCAGAAATATAATTATTAAATTTTTCCATATGTAATAACTATTAAAATTTATTATAATTCATTTTTATTTTAATAATTATTTTTATTATAATTTATAATTGTTATTATAATTATTATAACAAATTATTATTATAATTATTATAACAAATATTATAATTAAAATTATAAGAAATTATAATTATTTTTATTATTATAATTAATTACAATTATTATAATTATTATTAATTATAATTATTAGTTTTATTATAATTATAATTCTTATTATTAATATTTTTATAATTTATAATTGATTACAATTTATTCAACTTATTATTATTATAATTTATAATTGTTATTATAATTATTATAATTATTTCTAATTTATAATTATTATAATTATTGACCAGTCTACAAATCATAATGGGATTTTCTTGCCTCGAGACCTTTCTCTCTCTCTCTCTCTCCACAGTTATGATTTCTAACCTCTCCTGAATGTTGACCATACACGTTATTTTTTAGAAAAATTGTATGGTCAAGATATACAAGAAATTGAAAAATTATGAATGTTCATGAAATCATATTACATTTTAGCAAGAAAATATTATAGGACTGGTTGGGATGATTATACTTGATATCTTGAAATTTGTTAATATATCAAGTTGTTTATTTTGTTTGGTTGGTGCTTGTATAGTCCGTTAAACCCGCAAAAGCCCGATTCCTTTTCCTTTTTTATGTTATTCCATATCCCACCATTGTGGTGGGATGAGATATCATTTACTATGAAAATTCATAAAAACCTAAAATACCCCATCTTCTCTTCCTCATTTTCTTTGCCTACGCAACAAACCCGTCAAGACCTCCACCCAAAACTTCCTCCTTCCGCCGCCGCCCCCCGTCGAGACCTCCGCCCTCATTGACGCTTATCTGTTTGAAAGAGATTTTTTTCCTATTTGCATGTAGATTTAGAAGTTTTGCCATCTAATTCGTAGTGAAGATAACGCGTGACATTTATTCTATTTTTATATAACTGTGTTACATGATGGTGTAGAAATTGTTTGTGGTGCAAAAGCACAAGAAGTTTTGGGACAAGTCAAAGGAAGGTGTGTTTCTACCTCGGAAAACTGGTTATGGTGCAAAAGCACGAAAGTGGTATTCTCAATTTGGGGCTTTTCTAATTTTGGAACAAGAATGTCATTTAGGGGTTTATTGAATTGTGGTCTTTTTGTGTGTTTGATTAAATATTTGCCCAGCACATTCAATTGGCGATGATCGGTGAGGAAAGATGAAGAGCTGAACAAGCTCTAGGTCGTGTATTGTGCAATTTTAGTTAGTGCAAATTGTGAAAATTCAATTTGAAATGAAGGGTATAAAAGTAATTTCAATTTAAATGATATAATTTTCAATTCTAAACCAAACAAGTTAATGGACTATTAAATTGTTGGATAACCTTTGATTTTATCAAGAACTAGTATTTGACGCCGTGCATTTGTATAGATGTAAATAAAGTATTATAAGTTATTTATATGCATATAATATTAAAATTATAAGTTAGATTATGATATAAAATTTCAAATACAGAGTATTATAAATTATATTTATGCATATAATATTAAAATTATAAGTTAGATAATGGCATATGTTTTAATATTTGATCATTGGTTAAAATAAAAAGTAAATAATGATTGATTGCAGATGAATCACTATATTGATTGTATAAAATGTAATAAATAATGTATTTTGTAATTTTGAGGGATCATGACCAATTAATTAGCTGAAAAGTATTAAACTTATTATAACAATTGCTTACGTGGTTTTATGAAATTTTATTATCACATTAATATAAATTGATTTATTTAAATAACAATCACTTAATCAAATAAGAAAAATATAATATTGATTTTAGAATAAATAATTTGAACAAAAATTTTGTACAATTTAACTTTTTATGTTTATGTAACTTTCATATATCATTTGTGTAAAATATAATTATTAATTCTAATAATAAATATTATATGATACAATAAAAAATATAATTATTATTCAGTTAATATAATGTGTAACGAATTTTGCCTTAATTAACCAAAAAAGTGCAAGAAAATCTTCAATCATTAACTAGTACAATACTCGTATATTACACGGTGTTGAATTAGAAAGTTTTTGTAAAAAATATTAATTTTTTTTTTTAAAACTAAAATAATTAGTTTTATATACAACATTACTTTGGGTTTTAATTAAATTGTTAAATTATATTTTTTTAATCATAATAATTAAACACTCGTACATTAAATGAAAATGTCAACCCGTGTTGAATTTTTTTACTTATATCATATAAAAATATCGATATTATTTACTATTACATAAGTACAAAAATATATATCTTAAATAAATAGAAATAATATGGTGATATGTATATGCATAAGTGTAGATATGTTTATTTAATACTAAACAAAATAGATTACTTTTTCTACTTAATTAGATGTCTAATACATCAAGTGTCGTATCAGTCGTGCTTCACAGTTTTTTAACTTTATATGTAATTTTAGAATTTAGATAAATAATTATTTATTTTTATTAGATTAACAACATACAGTGGTGTTAGGCGACGGGGGTCCCGGTTCTTTCGAGCTTGTCTAGTGGTGTTAGACGGTTTTGAGCCGGGGTTGGTGTGAGGGGCGGTTCGTCTTCCTTTCGGTCGGTGATGGGTTGATGCGGGGATTGGTACGGGTCTTGAAGTTGGCTACTGTATAGGCATTTGGCAGTTTCGGTAGTGTTTCGTCATGCTTGGTATCCTTCTTGTTTCGACTATTCGCTGCTGGCTGAGTCTGATCGATTGTTGAGGAAGGGCCTTCTGTGTTTTCTTAGTTTTTCTTTTTTGTCGTTTTGTGTTGTTTGAGTCTGTGTTGTTTATTTTTGGTCTTGTGTTTTAGGTTTGGACCGTTGGTCCCGGTTCTGGTTACCGATTCCCCTGTGGGGGGCGTTTCTATTCTCCTGTGGGGAGCGTTCGTAGTTGGAATGTTGTGTTTTTAGTTGTGTGTTTTGTGTTTCTTTTCTAGTGTGGCTAGCGAGGCTCTAGGCGGGTTCGATCCGTCCTCCCAGTTTCTAGTTCCTGGTTGTAATATTCAGCCATGGGTTGCTTTTTTGCACAGTTGTGCGTTTTGATATATAATATCTCTATCGTTTCGAAAAAAAAAAACATATGCTTCTTAATTCAATACCTGTAATACACGAGTAAATTATTTTAGTTTTAAAGAATATTTTTAAAATAAAAGTTTTAATACATTTGACATATGCTTCTTAATTCAAAACCTGTATACTACTACCCAAATATTGTAATAGTAGTAATAGTATACATATATAATTACAAACGCACATCGTTTAGGACNTCTGGAAACTTCACTAATAGAAGAAACACTAGAATTTAATTGAGCCATTTTGATCTAGTCCATTATTAGCACTATGCTAGGAGAATTGTCAACAATGACTCTTCCAGCTCCATTTGCAATGGACACAAGTTAAGTTGATATATCATATATGAAAAATAAAATACAAACAAAAAAGTTATAAAATCTTAAAATAAGAAGAAGAAACATTTATAAAAACTAATGAATGAATTATATAAGAAAATGAAATGTGATGTATGGTAATGTAGGAAAATGAAACATAAAATAGTTTATGGTAACTAATTGTAAAAGTAAAGAAGGAAAAAAATCAATCATGGATTTAGTGTGATAAAATATATTAATCTATATCCAAGCCTAAATCCAAAGCACGGTTTTTTGTCAAATAGGATTCCGAAGCATGAGAATTTGCCACGCAGGCTCAGCGCATTCTGAAATGGTGTATACAGGGGATGAGATAGAGTGAATTAATAATAATAATAATAATAATAATAATAATAATAATAATAATAATAATAAATTATAACGGTTTTCGTGTTAAGAAAGTTGCTAAATTGCCCTCCTCCTTAATTACACATCAATACACCATAACTTTTTTTATTTTTTTCTCTCCTCTATCATTTATTAAGACTAAAGTTTAATGAGGTAAAATTTATTAGGTAAAATTTATGAGGTTCTATTTAATGAATTACTAGCAATTATATATATAGATGATTATATCATGCTCAATCCATTATTGCTACCAAACTGACCGTATAGCATAAGCCAATGTTTTCGCGAACACGTCATTGAACATAGAGCTAAAATCTCGCCTAAAAATTTTAAAGTTACTAAAATTGGTAATCTTTTTTAAAAAAAAATCAAAAAATCCCGCCAATAGAGCTTTAATTTTGAATTTCAAAAATATTTTGATTTTATTTTAGGGTAATTTCTTATGTATTATGTAAAAAAATTATCTATTAATTTCAATATAAATAAGGATCCTCCCATAATATATACTAGTACGTAACCCGTGCGATGCACTAGATATAAAATTTGGAAGAATAATATAACCTCACGTGCATTAGGATCGAAATTGAAATCATTAAAATACATAGGAACATTGTTGAATCATAAAAAGTTCGGTAACAATCATATATTATTAAAAACCTCTTTGTACACAACATTATGAGTTTGATTATTTGGTAACTCCTCATTATCACAAACTAATATTTTCAAAAGAGACAAATCCTAAAAATCAAACTAATATTTTTGGTGAACAAACTAATATTTTAGGATTGGTGAACAAACTAATATAATAGGATTTCTAGGATTTGTCTCTTTTTGGTGAACAAACTAATATTTTAGGATTGGTTATATGAATAAGGCTACCTGTTTTTGGTGTTCTTTTCATTCATTTTCATTCAAACAATCCGATGACTTGTATAATGAAATCCGAATCTTAAGCCGAAATATTTAAAAAAAGAGTTTTTAAAAATTGAAAAGTCAAGGCAATCAGTTCAGATTAATTAAAGGTCAAAGAATATCCGCTCCTTCAAATAAAGACGTGTGCTATCATTAACCAAATATCCGGTTATTGATATAGAGTGGTTACCAAAAAATAGAACGCGATAAGGACGCTTCATGGAAATATCAATGGGATAAGGTCATAACAGATTGCTGTACATTTTAACGATAAAAGTTCAGATGGAATGATTTATGATAATTATGTTGTAATTAATGAATTAATTAGATGTGTGAAAATGACATAATTAATGAGAAGTGTGAAAAGGACATAATTAATGAGGGTTTGAAAAGGACATAATTAATGAGAAGTGTGAAAAAGACATAATTAATGAGAAGTGTGAAAAGTACAAAAACTTACCAATTTTGGAAAATATTTAATGCAAATCCGACATTGACCATAATTTGACCTACTATTTTGGATAAATGTTAATTCTTATTATATAAGTATAGATTACAACCGCAACATTTCATATCCATTGCAATTAAAATCATTTAGCCGCAACATTACATATATGAAAAAGAAAGTGGCACTTATTTTGATGCTTAAAAGTAGGGGTGGTATCAGTTCGGTAACCGAACCGATAAGCATATACCGATAACGATAACGATCCGATAAGCATATATAAATATTAATAAATATCTATTGTCCGTGGGGATTCGTACTACACTACAAGAAACAAGCTTAAGAGGAACGACAAAATTGGAACGACAACTACGTTGTGCCAATAGAAATATATATTGCAACGACATAAAATTGTCGTACCCATAAATAGTTTGCTCTATTGCAACGCAAAATGTCGTGTCAACATTTCAAATGTTGTTACTATAAGCGCGATTCTTTAGCAACAACAGGATGTCGTTGTAATAGATATACTAATTGTGCCAATAAAATATGTCAGTTTAATGACCCACCAACCGTGTGACCAAATGCCTGCAGATCAATTAATGTCATATTAATTAGAACGACTTGTCGTGCGTATAGATAGTACATGTCGTTCCAATAAACTTTCACTGTATTGATTTAACCATCTACCACTATCTACTTTCATTCAATTCATCACCAACAATTCTACACATTTACACTCTGCCATAGTTCATTCTCATTTCTTCCTGTTTCTCCATTCATTGACAACAATTCTTGAAGATTAAGGTAAATCTTCAATATCCATTCATGCAATTGTTTTCTATAGCACTATCAATTGTAGCTGTGGAGGAATGTTTACTTTTTAAAGAGTAGTGCAACACAAACTGATAATATGTAAATAGTAAGAATATAAATTAAATTACTCACCTTTCATTTATATCTTTATCTCTGCTTCTTATCTCTGATGGTGAAAATAGGCACCTGCAGCTTCTTTCATTAGGAATAGTGAGTTTTATTTTCTTGACTTAGCTTCTGCATAAAGTGATGGCTTCAAGCTCCAAGAATGTTCAACACCTATCAGGAATGGAACAAGAAATTAGAATAACTAAGCACTTTATGAAGAATTTTTTAGTTGATTGAAATTAACTTACTTTCATGAGTAAGAGATAGTAATAAAAAAAAGTTATTTTGAGATCAAGACAACCTTGATCAATACACTTTAATATCTGATGGATTAAATCACCGAAATACCCTATGCGAGTATCTGCCTTCTATCGCTGCAATCCGATAACCCCTATAGACGCCCCTTTCTAGCCTTTGTTCCTTCCTTTCTTGATCACTCTTAGTAGCTCGAGCCTCTTTCTCCAGTATGTTAACCAGTTCATTTAGCAAATAGTTTAGGAATTCCTGGGCATCCTACGTGTGTAATACTTTAGCACATTAGATTCATCTTGATTCAGAAGAAAGGAAAACAATGATCTTTTAAGAAAGTTCATCACAGATAAACTAATAAGTAAGACGAAACAAAGAAAATGCAAGATTAGCAAGCTACTTTGCATTCTACTATACGTCGAAAAATTTCTGCTAGGGTCTATATCTAACTAATATATATATGTTCCTAATTAATTATGATTGATAAACTTTAAATATTAAACATACACTACACAACAGTTAATTTTATTACTTGATTTTTTTTTATATATTTAATTTTAGTATTAGTTTATAAATATTTATTTATATTTGTTTTTGGAATATATATTTATTTTTATTGTATTTTTTCAGGTACAGTAATGGATAAAGCATGGATAAATAAAAAAAATAGGATGTCTAAAGAGTTCAAGCATGGTGTGAAAATTTTATTAAGCACTGTAGGCCTCTTGTAAATAAGAAAGGTTTGATTAAATGCCCGTGCAACAAATGCTTAAATGTGCAATCTCAAAGTTTAGAAGCCGTTAAGATTCACATTGAGAGGTTTGGATTTGATGCATCCTATGATACATGGATTCACCATGGAGAATGTTTACCAGGATACCAAGTTGGTTCGTCGAATTTAGACTTTGAGATGATGGATGAAATGGAGACTGTGATGGCAGACTTGAATCTAGAGGAGTATGGGATGGAGGGCCCCGATGAGCAATATCATAACTTGTATGATGCTATGAGCACTAAATTATATCAAGGTGTTTCATCATTTTCTTCTCTTAATTTCCTAGTAAAGCTGATGAATATCAAGGTGAATGGAAAATGGACAAATAAATCATTTGATGAGTTACTTAAGTTGCTTAAACTTGCATTTCCTTCAATGAAACTAGTCAACTCATATTATGAAGCTAAAAAGTTGTTAGCGAGCTTGGGCTTGGGCTATGAGAGTGTACATGTCTGCAAGTATGATTGTGCACTATTTTGGCGAGAGTATGTTGACAGACAAGGATGTCCAGTATGTGGGGAATCACGCTGGAGAGAGAACATTGGAAAATGTTCTAGAAGCAAAATTCCACATAAAGTTGTACGTTATTTTTCGATCATCCCAAGATTGAAAAGATTATTCGCGATGGAAGAGACGGCAAAACTTATGCGTTGGCATAGTATTGAGTATAATAAAGATGTGATGACTCATCCAAGAGATGGCAAAGCCTGGCGTGAATTTGATGCTAGACATCTAGATTTTTCTAGTGAGAGGCGTAATGTTCGTCTCGGACTTGCAGCTGATGGCTTCAACCCATTCGCTGATATGAGCCAGTCATATAGCATGTGGCCAGTAATATTGACAGTTTACAATCTTCCCCCGTGGCTTTGTATGAGGTCAAAGTATTTGATGCTTACATTATTAATCCCAGGACCTAATCCCCAGGAAAGGATATGGATATTTTCCTAAGGCCCCTTGTGGAAGATTTGAAGATATTGTGGTCTATTGGTGTGGATACACGTGATGCTGCAACGAAAATTTGTGGTATATTTCGTATGCGAGCTGCATTAATGTGGACAATTAATGACTTCCCCGCTAGAAGCAGCCTTTCAGGATGGAGTGGTCAAGGTTACATGGCTTGTCCCACGTGCAATGATGAAACTCCTTCGCAGCGTATATTGGGCAAAACAGTGTACTTGGGCTATAGAAGGTACCTTCCGGTAAACCATAGATGGAGAAAATTGCGTGACTTTGATGGTCAAATCAAATTTCGAGGCCCTTCAAGCAAGAAATCAGTGACAGACATATTGATGCAGTTGAATCGAGTTAGGCCAAAGATACCCGGGAAGCATAAGAAGTACGGTGGTGCAAAGATAAAAAAAGCATGCAGATGAGTTAAACTGGAGAAAGAGAAGTATNAAAAAAAAAAAGGGAAATGTTGGCATTATTACATTTATTGTAAATGTGCAATTGGAAAGTAGAAAGAAGAGCATCCCTTTGAACATTTGGTTCAATTTATTATTACGTTATCATCATCATGTTACTGTACTCGAATTCTTGACCAAGGGTTTGCCGTAGGTAAAGGCAAATTGGTGTTGTAGGACTAAATAGGAACATGGTTTGGTTTTAGGGTGGGGGATGGGCCTGGTGACTTCAAAGTACCGAGCCTGGAGGAAGAGGAAGAAGAAAAGAAGGGGAAACGCGGTAGGGCCCATTTATTTGGTTAATTGTATTTACTCAATGTCATCATCAATGTGGTGTTGTATTTATTATGACTCAGGAGCGCATGATCTTCTCTGCTAGCAGTTAATTATTGTATTGTCATGTATCCTTGACCTTAAAGGTTTTCCAAAGTCTACGTATGAATATCAGTCTTGATACTCCATTTGAATGTAATCCAAGTTGAGTGAATATGATCAGAACTGGAAGATTTAAATCCGAGAGTGCCGTGGAAAAGCAAGTCAAAAAGAGCACATATGAGTAAACCAATTGTCAAAATGGTAATAATTGACCATACAACCAAAGTTTTTTTAATTGTACTTTATAGTATTTTAATACAACCAAAGTTTTATAAATATTAATGATTTCTAACCTCTCCTGAATATGACCATACACATGTTATTTTTGGGAATAATTGTATGTTCAAGATATACAAGAAATTGAGAAATTATGAATGTCATGAAAATCATATTACATTTTAGCAAGAAAATATTATAAGATGCAGAGTCTAAAAACACGTATAGTATAAGCCAATGTTTTCACGAACACGTCACTAAACATAGACGAACAAATAAAATCTTACATGCAAGTCTAGAGGTTGGCCCCTGAAACTTTTACAAACACACATTCGAACATCGACAAAAAAAGTTTTTTAAGTCAGATGATATAGCCATACTTGTGAACCGGAGTCATGTATGAAGAGGTCCAAGAGAAACCAAGGAAGAGCAACTTGAGGAGGTCTAGACGAGGCTTGAAGGTCTCAGCGACTAAGTATGGGAAGTAGACATGCTCTCTGTGACTGAGTATGAGAAGCTCCACACGACTAAGTATGAGAAGTAGACATACTCTCTGTGACTGAGTATGAGAAGCTCCACACGACTAAGTATGAGAAGTAGACATACTCTCTGTGACTGAGTATGACAAGCTTCACACGATTAAGTATGGGAAGTAGACATGCTCTCTGTGACTGAGTATGAGAAGCTCCACACGACTAAGTATGAGAAGTAGACATACTCTCTGTGACTGAGTATGAGAAGCTCCACACGACTAAGTATGGGAAGTAGACATGCTCTCTGTGACTGAGTACGAGAAGGTCGAGCTGCTCTAAGAAGATAATTAGAGGTAATCTCGACTTGCTAGACTTGCTAGAGGTCATCTCGACCTGCTAGACTTGCCAGAGGTCATCTCGACTTGATAGACTTGTCTCGACCTGCTAGACCTGCTAGAGGTCATCTCGACTTGCTAGACTCATCTCGACCTGCTAGGCCTGCTAGAGGTCATCTCGACTTGCTAGACTCATCTCTACCTGCTAGACTTGCTAGAGGTCATCTCGATCTTCTAGACCTTCTAGAGGTCATCTCGACTTGCTAGACTCATCTCGACCTGCTAGACTTGTCAGAGGTCATCTCGACTTGCTAGACTCGTCTCGACCTGCTAGACTTGCGAGAGGTCATATCGTCTCGACCTACTAGAGATCATCTCGTCTCGACTGGACAAGAGGAGCTAGAGCTCATCTCCACTACTAGACGTCTCTGTTACTAGAGGTCCCCGCTACTAGACCTCTCCGCTACTAGACGTCTTCTCTACTAGACGTCTCCGTGACTAGAGGTCTTCGCTACTAGACCTCTCCGCTACTAGACTTCTCTGTGACTATAAGAGAGAGGCAATAATTGGATAAGAAAGAATCTTGAGCTGACTAGGAGGTAGATGGAATGTGAACCTACCAGGCATTTTGGACACTTCAGGTAAACCGTTCGGGGCATTTTGGGTACTTCAAGCATGTAGTTCCCTCTATATAAAGGGGCTGAGGTAACCCTAAACCCTAACCTGGACTCATTCTATACACTTTCCATCTCCCTGCTGCTGCTGCTCTCTTAGAGCAGCACTCTCCCCCACATTCTATGCATTTCTACATGCATCACAGCTCTACATCACAGAGCTTCATCTTCCTCTCCTCTGTTTACTGACTTGAGCGTCGGAGGCCCGACGCCGGGACCTCTCCCGGCGTTGGGTTCTTGCAGGTGTTTGCGGCGGTCTAGCAACGATTTGAAGGCGGTTCGAACAGATCGGAGCTCACAACAACCGGTTTACTCCAGATCTGGAAGTAGACCCATCAATGATCGTATGCATTTAATATCCATTACTTTGATTTACCAATTTGTGAGATCCAATTAATGGGTCAATAGACTGGGTGATTGGGTAACTAGATTTGTCTTAACCAGCGAAAAGAGGCACAACTTTGAGCAGGTACTTGAGGGCCATAGAATCTATGAAGTATCATTTTGAAAATGAAAACAGCCCAAAGCGGATTAAAAGAAGTAAGAGGACTATAACGTTGTTAAAGTTGCAGAAGCCCAAGAAGTTGGGGAGCCAAAGATTGCGAAAAAATAGATGTCCGGGAGAGTAGCTCAGAAACCAGACGACCTAAGGTCACAGAACTCCAGGTGGGTAGCTCGAAGGTCACAAGGGCAAGGGACGTGTAAAGTTGGCTCAGAAGCCATAAGTTCACACAAGATAGACACTCTGACATAGATAAGCTCAAGATCTCTGATGGTGCATTCAATGCAGAAGCACACCAATTTCAAAGGCACAATAAGTGGCATTTCAACACAAGTCTTGGTTGCTTGTCTTGAAATGGTGGGGCTAGATGATGTAGCAGGGAAAAGCCAGGTGGACCGGCTTGACCCGTGAGCTCGGTTCTGGCCGATCCTGCGAAGCTTAAGCCCGCTTATGCGGTTTAAAAGATATAATGTATTGAAATAAGTTGGTTCATAGCTATACAGTTATTAATAAGGATCAGAATCCTTGGATAAGAAGAAAACTCCTTGTCTTGGGGAGTAAGTCATCAAGCCCTTCATAAATACAAGGAATCTAGGCTTTATTTCTACCTTAAGGTTTTAAGATTATTTCTACCAGCGTTTTGGAGGTCGATCCGGTTCGCGAAGACGAAGGTGATCAAGACGAGGCGGTTCGACCGACAATCCTAATGAGTTGAATCTTTTGACTCATAGTCAACCTGTCCGACTCCCCATGCTCAGTCTGTCCGGGTTTGATATTATCTGCTTAGTGTTTATCCTCATCCTAATCATCATTGTATTCCCTTATATCTTCAGGGGTCGTTTACTAGCAATGACAGAGTGGGATAAGGTTGGTTAACCAACCTTATTATTTGTTTACTCGCTTTGGTGGGGACTAGGATTTAACTGATGTGTCACTTGTGTTGCCTGTGGGTCCCGTGCGTGTAGAATGATGTGGAAGGTTAATTCTGTCCGCCCAATTTGCCCTAACTAAATAATCCTACTTTCTCCTTCCCATTTTAACCTCATTCCAGCACATAAATTGTCTATTGTACCCCTCCATGTCATCTAAATTACAGATATAGGCATATATATACAATTCTCCTGTCCGAAAATCACCATACCCGACCTCGTCTACTCTATCTCATCTCGTCTTCTCCGCCCGTAAACCCTAGCTGCACCTTTCTTCTACTTCGTTTTTTTTTTTTTTNGCATAGTTTATTTTTTCAGACTTCATTCTAACATAGATTTACTCGCAGGTGGCAATTGGTTCGACTGGGTCGACGGTTCGACATAATTTCCTGCGCCAATTTATTGATATATTCACCATTCTTTTTTGGGTTTTTTCAGTTGTGCGAGTTCTTTAACATAATGATCTTCTCCGCAGGTGTTCATCGGCGATTTGTGACGTAATCTACTCCCCCATGACTTCACGGCTCCGGGCTGGGTAAGAACTTGGAAGTTATTTAATTTTTCTGCTACTTTTGTTTTTCATTTGTCCGATCTATATGTACGATTTGCAATTTCTTGGCGGCGGCTGGGAGGAGTCCCATCTATTTTTCTCTGTTTTGCGATGGGATGACCTGCGGTACAGTTGAATTATCTTGTTTTTCATTTGATTTATTTTTTGTTTAAAATTTTGTTTATTATTATTTTCTATAATTAACAATGTATTGTAGCTAATTAGATTGATAAAAATAAATAAATTTACGTAATTGTCTTTTTTCACAATTAGGATAATTTGTAATCTTTAATTCTTTGGGCAAATGTAAATAAGTAGTCAAATAATTTCACTACATTAGAGCATATTTCGGCATTTTTTGCTGTATGTTAATCCTGTCAATGCTAGGTAAAATTGGTTCTGCCTTGGTTGTAGAATTGTCACTTTTGATTTGCTCGGGTTAACAGCGTTGCGTTGTGAATGGTGACTCTGCACTGCTTGCATTTCTGTGACTGATTGGGTCAAAGTGTTGCATCCAACAATGTAAATAAGTAGTCAAATAATTTCACTACATTAGGGCATATTTTGGCATATTTGGACAACAGTTAATATGTTAATGCTAGGTTTAATTGCTTCTACCTTGGTTGTACAATTGTCAATTTTGATATGAATTTTTCTCGGGTTAACAGATTTGAGTTGTCAATGGTGACTTTCCACTGCTTTCATTTCTGTGACTGACTCACTGGTTGGGTTGAAGTCCTCGGTTTTTGTGAATGCTGGTTTTCAATTGGAGTTCATGTTTTTTCTTTCTCCGTGTTACATGATACTTGTTTAGGTTTAGGTGTGGATGCCTTTGTTGAGCAGTTTATTATATTGGTGTTTTTTTTTCCTATGTTATATGCTTTGGTTATTATATGCTTTGTAATTTTCGAGCATTAGCGAACATCATGTTGTGAGGTTGACAATTTTCATGTCAGTTGATTATGTCCTGTTTATTTTAAAAAAAATTGGTTCAAATTAATACATCAATTGAACTTTTGGGAATGTTGGTTTTTATTTGTATCAGAATGTGCGATGATTACATGATGTTCTGTACTTTAATGTGTCTGATTGAAATGGAATAACAATAGTGAAAATAACCTGCGTCTGCTAAATTATGTGTGTGCGGTGCTTGACCTCGTACATTTAGAAATAGTAAAGTTATTGTAAATAATTATGTGTGTCTAATTGAAGTGTTAATTGTCAGACTCATTTGTGCTTGTTTTCCATGTCTTACCTCGAATCACTTGCTACAATCAATTTTTAATTTTTCCCCTGTCTGTTGGGTCAATGATGAACACCTGATGCTATGTTTCATTTATGTATGATCTTCCTCTGACATCATTCTTGCCATTGCTTAATTAACTAGTATTTCAAACATACAAGAGATTAAGGAAGTAGGAAAATGCAAGAGATTGTATAACATACAAACAGCAGATCCTTATCATAGAAACAAGACGAAATGAAAGATCCACTTGCAAGTACATTAAACAGCTATATAACATTATGAACAAGCATGCAGAGTCTAAAGTCTTCCCAAATGTGACTATACACATCACATAAAAAAAATAAATACATCATACTGTACTTCAATTGTGTGCATGTCTGTTTAATTGTGTGGTATATTGATGCTATTTTTATTTAGTTCCCCACTCCTCAGTGTAATAAGCGTGTCAATCTGGTTTATTCATCCACATTTGTAGATGGATTCGGTTGGAGAAGAATTAGCGGTTGTTCCTATATTGGAAGAGGTTATGTGTAGTGTTCAACTTTTTTTGCTACTAGCTACTTATTACTATATCAAATTCATCCGTCCTCGTCGAAAACGACGACGTTTGGGTAGTAACCACGTCCCGTTATTTCGAGTTCGTGATAGACTCCCACATCAGGTCAACTACATGCGAAGGTTGATCGACGTGAGTGACACAACTTGTGTCGAGAACCTACGCATGGACCGTAACTCTTTCGGCCGTCTGTGTGACCTTCTTGAAAGCTCTGGCGGACTTAGGAAATTTAGAAATGTTCCTTCAAGTGAACAAATGGCTATTTTCCTTTCAATTCTAGCTCACCATAAGAAGAATGTCACTTTAAAGCTTGATTTCGTTAGATCCGGTCGAACCATAAGCAAATACTTTAATCGAGTTCTTGACACTGTCATCCGAATTCACTCAATCCTCATTGTGCAACCAAAAGCAGTTGAGGTAGATTGTGTCGATGAAATGTGGAAATGGTTCAAGGTAACTACAACACATTTCTCAACGTCGTTCGAATTTCTTAGTTCAACCCTCCCGAACTAATAAGTATTTTTGGTTTTGTCTCGTTAGGGATGCCTAGGAGCACTAGATGGAACCTACATTGACGTGCGAGTCCCTTCTACTGACAAGGCACGCTATAGAAACCGTAAGGGTAGTATATCCGTTAATGTACTTAGGGTTTGCGATAGAAGCATGAACTTCGTTTACATGGTTTGTGGATGGGAGGGGTCAGTGGCAGACAATCGAGTCTTGCGTGATGCTGTTACTAGGACGCATGGTCTACGTGTTCTCAGTGGTAATACAATCATTATATTACTTAAACATCATCCAATCCTCTTTTCAAAATAAAGAGAACACAAGCCTGTCATTATTTACAATAAATGAAAATGTGACACAAGAAATTATTATTTGGTGGATGGTGGGTATACGAATGGTCCCGGCTTTTTAGCGCCATATAGAGGTGTGAGATACCACTTACAAGAGTGGGGCACAGGATCACGTAGGCCACAAAACCTTAGAGAATTGTACAACCTTCGTCATGCTAAGGCTAGAAATGCGATTGAACGTTCTTTTGGAATTTTGAAGATGTGATGGGCAATTCTTAGGAGTTGCTCATGTTATTCCATTCGAACACAAAATCGCATTATCATGGCATGCGCGCTCCTACACAATTTCATACGTACATCAATGGCCACTAATCCAATTGAAGCATTAGTTCCTGAGATCCCCGAAGTTGGATTGCCCACAACTACGGGTGAAGATGATTTGATAGACCAGGTAGAGAGTAGCCGAGATTGGACACAGTTCCGTGACCGATTGGCTCAACATATGTTTCGTGATTGACAGAATAACGTGTTTTAGGTTACGAAAGTTTGTTTTTCAATATACGATTATGAGATTGAGGTGAACAAAGTTTTTTTGCTGGTTGTTGACTTGTCTTCTTTTTATACCATTTTGTTGTACATTTTATCCATTCATGTTTGGTTTGGTGTGCTTATTTATTTGTCAATTTTACGAATAAATTATTTTGGATCATTCGATGTGTCTTTAAGAATGCAAACGAATCCTTTTTTGTGTAAAAGTGGCCTTCGTGAGAACAGGTACCACCATGGACTACTCATGTACCCAAGAAAGTGGGCGATCTTCCTCCTCCCAAATAGCAAGACGACGTACGTGGAACCCGCGTGAGGAGTCTTTCCTAATAGATATTTTGAAAGACATGGTTATGGAGGGATGGAGGGCAGATTATGGGTTTAGGCAGGGATATAATTTTGAGATTGAGAAAAGATTGAAGGTGAAGATACCAGACTGCACCCTTCAGCTGAACCACACATCAGCTCAAAAATACATGTGTGGATGAAGAACTATGGGAGTGTGGCACTTATCAAAGGAACTTCAGGCTTCGGGTGGAGTGAGGTGACAAAAACTTTTTACTGCGACGATAAAGTATGGGCACAATTGGTAAAGTTAAGTTATGATACCCATTCATCATTGAATGTAAGAAAGAGATAATATTTCCAAAACATTTGTGCCAATTACATGTATCTGGTTAATGTAGGTGGATCCACACATCAACGATTGGGCTGAAATATTTGGGAAAGACAGAGCTACAGGTGAAAATTCAGAATCCTTTCAAGATGCAGCCAATGACGTTCCAGAGCATGTCATGCAGGACCAAGTAGACTCGGATAATGAGGATGTTCCATCACAGCAGAACCAATCTGATGGAAGCCCAGGCCTTCGCATGAGTAGCACTTCAGGTACGGAGTCCGGGTCCGGAAATAGGGCAGGTAAGAGGGTGAACGGTAGCAAAAGGAAGGGAGACAGTCCCTTTGAGGAGCGTTTTCTGCATATCATGCAGTCCTTTTCCCAAAATACAAAAGAGAGCTTGAATGGGATTGCATGTAGGCTTGGGTTTGAGCATGAGGCGGAGAAGAAAAGAAATTCCGTGTTTGACTCATTGTCTAATATGCATTTCCTGTCAAAAGAGGATAAAATGGTTGTCACGATGCGCTTATGTAAGAACCAACAGGAGTTGTCAATGTTTTTCAGCCTGTCCATGGAAGATAAAGCTATCATGGTGAAAATGATGCAGGATGGACGTTTGTAGTTCGTTGGAAATGTATAACAATTTTATGTCTGATGTAGAATGTCGAAACTTTGTGTGATGGTAGGACTTGCGAATGATTATTGTTTGTCTTGTGTGTTGGATTTGCCTTTTGAAGACTTTGTACTTGATGTGCTTGTTTTCATTTTTCTTTTGAAGATATTATTGATGTGTTTGTTTTGTTGGACTGTAAAAGAAACATATTCGAATTGTATGTGTATCATTGCGAAGCTCCTTTTTTTGTTCTATTGTTGTGACAACAAGCAGGGAATGGACAACATGGATGTTGACGGTGACGGTCCTCATTTCTTCAAGGCTGTTCAGTTTCATACGCTCTATACCATGGTAAGATAGTATACTCCTTTTTTTCTTCAACCTACTCTATTTTTGGGTCTGCACTTGTAGTTGGTAATATTTTGGGATTGTGGTTTTAGTGCGCATGGGTTCAACTATTTGGTGCCTCTATCTTCTTGTGTAACTTACTGCTTCTGTAGGAACAATGGGCTATTTGTGTCTATCAAATCAGAAGTATTTGATTTTACTTCTATCTATAATCTGTTGGGGGTTTGAATTCTAATTAATCTCATCTTAAACTTTGTTTCTCTGTACTCTTTTGTACATGTTCAAATGACTTCTTTTTTATGTGTATGTGTGTGCGTATAAGTTTCAATTATTGATATTTTGGTTGGTGACTCCGAAGGTCCCACTTCATGTAGTTTGATTGGGGGTTTGATGCATGATGAGTATTCAATATATTTCACCGGTTAGAGTGATTTGGTTGTAAACAGTCAGTTACATGTGTTGAAATGTGTATATGGACATATATGAACTTATGTGCTTATGTCGGGCAGTACTAAATCTCCTACATTGTATTTAACTAACACTTGTCACATCCTTTTTTGACAGGCATTCCCGCCAGCGACACACCACCATTACCGTGGTGTGGTGCTGCCACAACAGTGCAGTATCGAGACCGTAAATACGAGGCGACATTGGATATGGTCAATAACTGCCCGACATTAACGGATGGATGAAGAGATTTCATTCTTGCAGAAGACATAACCCTGAACTACTTTTTGGTGTTCCGTCCCAGGACATTGTTCGACTCTGAAGTGTTAGTGATGGAGCCCAATGGTTGTGAGAGGCTACCACATTACACGTTCAGTCTCGAGATAAAGTCAACTCATGTGGAGCGTGCACGTCTGGTATGTTTTTTGATGTAATATTATAATTTCATTAAAATTTTATATTTTATATCATTGTGTTTAACATATCTATTATATATTAGCCAATCCCAATGCAGTTATGGAGGGATAACATTGAAGGAAAGTATTTGAATTACAACTCCGCAATGTTGAAGTTTGGTGACATTTGGTATGACGTCGACATAATACATGGACATGATAAGAAACTGTTATAGAATGGTCGTGCACGACAATTCATCGATAACAACGACATTGTTGTTGGTGAGGTTTGTTCTTTCTCCTCCCACATTATGATGTCATAAAATTCAAAGTCAAAATGTAGTGGAAGTGTAATATGTAGTGGACCTTGTGCACTTGGGGTTGATGTTGCAGACTTTTGTGGATGGTGTTCCGAACTTTTTTTTTTTATTTATTTAGCTTTTATTGATGATGCTGGAATTAAGGATTTGGTTATCGTTGCGAACTTTGTTTTTTATTTAATGAACTTCGTTTATTGACGATGTTGGAAAAATTGAGGATTTTGATATCGTTTTTTTATATTTTTGTTGTTAATGTTTTTCGATTGTATTTTTTTAATGGCTGTTAAATTACAAACATTACACCCGGGTGAATATGAACATAGCACACAAGAGAAGGAGACGTATAGAACACAACTTCATAACACCGACAAGCAATAACACCGACAAGCAATAAAACCGACAAGCAATAACACCGACAAGCAATAACACCGACAAGCATACACTAGATAAGACAAGCATAACATAAGAGAAGTGAACATAGAATACCTAAGCAACCCAAGCTGAACCTACTACGTGCTCATTAAAACCATGACGAAAGAACAAAAGAGTACAACCATAAAAACAACCAAAACACTGTGACGGAGCTAGTACCACGGCCAATCAGGCAGCGTGAAATCCATAGGGGTGGCAAAACATGCAGTGGACGAAGAATTTGGTTCCTCTTCATCCACACGGCTGTGAGTGGAGTTGTAGTATGTCGGCTGGTTGACAGATCCATCAGTTGACCCAGTCTGGCTATGTATGGAATGCTCTTGTTGTCGGGGCTTTAAAGTGCCACCCAGATAGAATGCTGGACATGGTGGTTGTTTTTTACGTGGGATGTCCGTTCGAACAGGGTACGGCACTAACCTACTCGGAGGGGCATGTTTTGGGGTGTAGTCCTCAACATCAATAGTTTGAAGAGTTTTGTTGCGGCCATCGTTTGCATTCCTATTGGGTTCATTGTCACTTTCAGACAAAATATGGTACTCGAAAGGAGGTACGTACGCCGGCTCCACACAAAACAACTCTACAATTTTGTCATGCTGCGGATCACCTTCCTTCATGTACGCCACCGAAAAATCATCCCACTACATAAAAGATAATATATAGATTAGTTTGCAGCTCTAACGTGTGTGTAATAAAGCGAATGGAAAATCATTGATAAAACTCACATCTACCAGTTGATACCAAGTATTGTCCGAACAATGGTGCTTGTTTTGGCCAGTGTCGTATTGCACACCATCCTTGACATTAAGGGATGTGAAAACATCATGTCGTTTGGCTAAAATATCAATGCGGCCTTTTATGTACTCCATCGTGAAGCTCTTACCATGATACGAATTTATTGATTTCGTATTATCAACGATGGAGTCAGTAGTAGCTGTAGCATGAACAAAGTGACCACAAAATTTATCATCAAGCAAACAATCGATTAAGAACTCATCAAGTTTTGGTGTCCAATATAGGTCGTACAAGTAGTCAGCCTGCACTACACCAAAATCGGGAGCCATCGCTACTTATGAAATTAAGTTAAGTAATTTATTTTTACGAAATCTAATCTTTCACAACTTCCCTCTACGTTAATGGATACGTGTGTTGTGCAGTGGGCTGTTTATATAGAAAAATATCATGATTGCGGATATGTAATGCATTGGCTGACATGTACACATGGTAAGCATGCTCGTGAAGCCTTAGTCCTATCAAGTCAGCTTTGCAGAATAAGCCTAAGCATAAAAGTAGACCTGCAACCATGTGCAGATGCTAAACAAGCTCGTGAAACATTAGTATCTAGTCAGCGTTGAAGAAAAAGCTTAAGCATAAAAGTAGACCTGCAGCCATGTGCAGATGCTAAACAAGCTCGTGAAGCCTTAGTCCAATCTACTCAGCTTTGCAGAAAAAGCTTGAGCCTACATGTAGACATGCAACGTGTTGTCATAGCGCGTGCTAACAATTATTAATTTTTTTACCATATAGTTTAGTTGAATGTTGAATTCAGCATTTACACAATGGCAGTTGTACCGTGTACGCAGACGTTGACCAGTAGCTTTGTTAAAAAATAGGTGAATGGTCGTTCAAAACAATGGGTAATGCTTTAAGTACATAATATTGTACGTAAGAGTGTACATAACACTCACATTGAGTGGGACCGACCAAAAATAAAAAATCAAGTGGACCCCACTCCATGTGAGTGTTATGTACACCTCTATGTACGTTTATTATGTACTTGTAGCATTTTCCCAAAACAATTACTGTATGCTCACATGTATTAACCTATACGCATGGGTGGGTTCAACAACAAAAGTTGCTTTTACTTTTAGAAGATGTAACACTGCTCCTTTATCAGGGCAAGTGAGATATGCAGAGGGTCGATAAAAGACGTTTTTTGCATGTGTTTCTGACCCATTGATGGAATACTACCTTTTTGAATTGACCAGTCTGTATCGGATTACAACTTGTATTAACCTTAGCTGCACACAATTATTAGATACTACCTACGTTTTAAAGTTACACAAATATGCGAATTTAATAAAAGGGGACTCAAATACGAAAAAAACAAACGAAATTTCATTAAAAGGACGGTTGCGTTACATACTGCTATTCCGTGACATACAAGCTAAAGAGTACATAACGAAAATACATCAAAACACCAATACATAAGAGTTGATGGATAATTTGATACATATTATCCATCATTTCATGATAAACATCCACACTATTGACATTACAACTAAAACCAATAACATTCTATTCTTCTGCCTCAAATGTGCATTTTCTTTTTCCAGTTTCTTCATCTTTTTCATGTACCTCTCCTTCTCTTGGAGTTCATTTGCAGGTTCGACACTTTGGCAATTTGTTTCAGCTTCTAACCGGTTTATTTTACGCAACAATCACCATCATCTACTCACGGCCGAGACACTCAATGAGCAAGCAACTTATTTGTCCAATGAATTATACAACATCAAGAAGGAACACATATTCACCTCATTTTTTCAATGATTTCCACAGCTAATAATTTCTCAACACTCAACCACATCCTCACAAACAACATCACGGGCGAAGAAAGAAGAAAGAACAGAGGCAGACATCAAGAAATGCGGACCAACTAAAAATTGAACAAAAATTCTGTAACCTAAAATTTTACAACGAAAAAAAAAAAAAGAACACACCATATGTCAAACATATAAACAAATCTCGAGAGCCTAGGATATAAACGATTCACAAAACGGGGGACAAATGACAATTCCAAATCACAATGGATTACAGTTTCAATATTCCGATGGACATCGAACTTTACCTCGTGCTTCCGTTCGCTTTGAACTTTCTGCTCCCTTCTCTGAAATCGACAAGCGCAAGGTCGAATGAGAATTTGGATTATGCTGGGAGGTGGAGTCGTAAAAATTGGGTCGCCAAATTAGGGTTCTTAAATCTCGTTTTTTGCGATTTGAAATAAGGATGAAAAAGACTGATGGAAGGGCATATTTGTAAAAGAGGAACAAATACCACATAAATTTGTCATGGATAGTAAATAGACGATTGGATAGGATAAGATTGTATCATGTATAGTAAATTAGGGACAAAATCTGATGTGGCAAAATGTGGCCACTTGGACGGATTAAACTGTCTAATCCCTTCCTCTTTGGTAAACGACGCCTCATAAGCTTTTTATCCCTGTAAGTCCATTTATTCAGGTCTTGTGATGCTTCTAGGTCATCCGAGGGTCTCCATGACGTCACCTTTACAATCTCGTCTTCCCCTTTAGTCATCTTTATATAAATGATTCTACTTAGGTCGTCCAGTCGACCCGCCTGTACTTGGTTTATTCCGATTTACCCAATTTAGGGCTATATCAGATTTATTATGCAATGTTTCTTGTTCTAGCAAGGGTTTGGACCACTGCATTTATATGAGATTATTGTTTTGGGGATGCATTTTGTTGGGAAAATAGTCGATAACTTAGTGGACGTAGAAAGAAATAATGATTTTTCTATAGTACTTGATTCATTGTTGTCATATATTTTCTACAGATGGTAATTACAAGATAGGAATAATTTCAATTTTGGTCATTTACTTGTCTAAAGTCCACTTTTTGTACACTAACTTACTTCTTATCAAAAATAATAAGTTATGTTGCAATTTGTATCATTTTTGGGACATTACTCATTAAAAACAGTACGTTATGTTGCAATTTGCATCATTTTTAGGACATTAACCCCAAAAAATAATGAACCATTTTCGGGGTAATGTCCCAATAGTGATACATATTTCAACATAACGTACTATTATTGATTATGAGAAAATTAGTCTACCAAACAAGGACTTTGAACAATTAAACAGACCAAAGTTGAATTTTTGCCTTACAAGATACATTTGATGGCTCACTCGCTATTATCACTACGGAGGAACGATGTTAAAAAGCATTCAAGTCATTAGATTAAGGATTGTTATGAAGTACTTGTTGTATTAGAACTAGTTGACTGTAGCATTCTCTGAATAGCATACATATGTGTTTTTCTTTGGATTGCCCAATTAGTCACTGCCTTTGTGATT